AACCTCAAACAACTCCTGAGTGAAGACCGTCAGAAAACTGGTGGTGGTTTTTTTATGCTTTTGCAGTTTGATGTAAGAGATTTGACAAGTTAAAAAAAACCCTTCATTTCCAGTTGTGAAGAGAACATTTTGATATATCTAAAACCTGTGGCCGTGCACTCTCTGCACTCTGAGGGGAATTTGAGCTGAAAGCCTGCAGCGAAGAGAGAGACAGCGGATCGAAAAAGACAAAAATGTCTTCGTACTGATCAACAATTTTTACATGTGCTGAAAGAATTGGGACTAGGAGGAGTTTTAGTGAAGTTTAGACAACTTAAAAGTTAGTGTGTTACATCATCGCACTCTAAATTGGGTGGTAAAATCCCCCCAAATCACAAAACGTTTTGTGTGACTGGTTTAATTTAATTGTTTCTATTTTAAAGCATAGAGCTGGGATAACTGGGTTTCCTCACTTGAGGAAAAAGTTTCATATTTTTATGTTGTTTTTTTTTTGTTTTTTTGCAAATTTTGTCATTGTTGTACAATCGAGCAGCACGATTAGATTTTTTTTTCAAATGCGGGTCAAGAAAATTGTGAACAGAACAGTTATAAGGGGGCTTTAATGCCTCACAGCCCCTTAATAATCCACAACATGTTTGTGCTGTATGTACAACATGTGCTTAACTCCCTTTTTTTTTTCTTCACCTGCCTGTGTTTTATAACATCCTGTCGGGCCTCTTTGTCTGTCAGCCTTCTTGCTTAAACTGCAAACAAGCTGCAAGGCCAGCAGATTCAACCCCAAAAAGGCTGCAAGCACGCGCTCACACAAACACACCACCACATGTGAAACTCTTACACACACATCGCACAGTCGATGAAAAACGGCCTCCTCTCCTGCCTTGTTATTTATTTATTTATTTTTTCTTCCTGAGATCCTCCTGCTGATGCATGCACTCTGAGCGTATATGCGTCAGATTTGTCGGCGTGTGCGCGCGTCTTGTATGAATTTGTGTATGAAGTGTCTGTGAAGAATGATGCGTGTCATTGCGCAGGCGAGAGGTTGTCGCTCGGGGAGCATCGCCGTCGACTCAGGCGACCCTGGCCGTGCTTTGAACTCCTCCCAGGGCGACTGTGGAGCGCTTTTATGGCGTGGTGCGAAGTCGCTTCTTCGTTTTTCTTCTGTTTCCTAGTCTGGTGAATCTTTCATGAGACGATGTGAAAAACATCTCTCTCCGTTTTGCTCTCCGTCCACCTGTGATCGTATCATTGTCTTGTTGTTTTTTTTTTCTTTGCGGTTTGAAGCTTTTTTGCTCTGGTTTGTCAGGCTTCTTGCAAACTTCACCGTGCTTTGCTGATCCACCTGTGTTCAACTGAACCAAAGTGGCACTTCTGATCAAAGCATTCAAATAAGTTAAACGCCACTTAAGAACGGTCACACTCGCATGCAGGAAATTTCTGCGGGTGTGAAAGTGTGCAAAGGAGCATTTTGGCGCGATAAGATCAGGTTTGACTCTCAAGCTAATGGGCAGAGAGGAATCTGTTTTTCACTTTAAATGAGTCACTGTGGTTTCTGGATGAAAACGTTGCAGCGGAACCTATAGAACCTCTCTCCGAACGAACCTTTTGCAGCCAGGGGAGAGGAAACCTGGAGCTCAGCTGCTGCTGTCACCAAATGATGGGTCCAGATCCTACCCGTCCATTCCTTGTGAGGACTTGAAGGTGTCCTCTTTCTTCCCCTCTTCTTCTTCCTTTTTTTTATTGCCCCCACCGCCCAATGCTCCTTTAATCACCTGGCTTGCTCTCATTTCCATATTAAATAGGCTTTAATCATGAAAAGCAATCAGGCTTTTGCATATTCATACCGTCCCCTGTTCACCGGCTTCCCTGTCTCGCTCCAGTGCCAAGCAGCCAGTAATCAGTAGGCAGGCGGCGTAATGCCATAGCCCCGGCCCATCGCATGAAAACACACACACACACACACACGCCGCGTGAGTTCAAAATAACTTCACATGCTACTTACGCATTATCTCCACTCCAAGTGAGGGAGCGATAGAGAGAGAGAGAGGGGAAAGGGAGAGGGGTGAGAGATAAAAAAAGAAAGATGGCGAGACTGATCCCCTGATTTGAGCTGCGAATATTTGTACAGAGGCTCAAGGAAAAGTCGATTTGCATAATGACTTTGTAGTTTAGCATTAATCACATTTGCATATGAAAATGTGTTAATTACTCCTGATGATTTTTTTTTAACTTGCTTCATTTGATGTCCAAGCTCTGGGGTTGTGATTAGAGGTCACATGGTGGGAGATGTGTAGGTGTGTGTGTGTGTGTTTAGGAGTTGTTACATGAGTGATCTGAACGCTTGCCAGGGAATTTATCTCGTGTCTGCTCATGGGCACGTGTGCGTCTATTTTCATTTTCTAATTTGTGCTTTTCCTTGTTTCTCTCTGAGTGACCAATTTGCCCTTTTTTCTCTTTGGGTGGCGGGGAAAACATAACGCAACAACTTTCCTCCGTCTCAAGTTTCTGTCAAATAACGTGCTTCTCGAGGTTTATTTGAATGAAAACAAGCAGTTAAACTCAGAACAATTATAACCATTTTATAGGGATGTATTATGTTCTGTAATAGTCTGAGCTTTGTGCGCCACTGACTTTGTACAAGAATCATCCTGCAGGTAAACGCAGCCTGGATGTCAAATGAATCAGTCATTTTTATTTACTTTTGCAGTACTTTATTGACAGGTTTTTGCAACACATAGTGGAAAAAAAGCAACATATTTCCTGTTTTCTTTTTTTACCTTTTTATGTAAATTTGTATATTTTAATATCTGCTTAAAAATCAAAGTAACCGATCTGTGCATGAAAGTGTGTGTATATAGGTGTGTGTACAGTTACAGTAAACGTGTTCCTGCCTGTGTATGGGCCTTGTTGGCCCTTAATACCGTGCCTCAGACAGGACCACCCCAGGGGCTGTCTGACTCTGCTTGTGTCTGTCTGTCTGTGCAGCAGTAGGGTCAACTGGGTCTATAAGAGAGCTGCTAAAGGGGGCATAGCCACACACACACACACACAAACACACACATACACACTCACACACACACACACACACACACACACACACACACTTGATAAGAGGAGCAGGCGTGTCATTTTCTGTGTGAATTTAGCTCCAATCAAGAGAAAAAGCACGTGTTAGTTAGTGTTAGTCGACCGTCTTTCACCGCCTCCTCCTTTGTGTTTTCCCGTTTGTAGTTCAGTCGTCTCAAACAGAAGTTTGTACAGGTGAGGGGAGGAAAGTGGGACTAAAAATTTGTTCATCATGATGACTCCATGTATATGCCCCCCCCCCCCTTCTGTTTCCAGTTTAGTTTTGATATTGATAGGAGAGCAGGTTTCAAAAGCAAGAGAGAAAGAGAGAGAGAGGGGTGCGGTCATGGGAAGAGGTCCGACCGCTCTGCCACCGCTGCAGGTTCGGGTGCCAGCTCCTTGTTAATTTACTGCCTTCCCCCTCCAGGCCATGTTACTCAACCATAAGTTAACAAACAGCCCTTCTTTCTGTTTGTCTGTCAGCCTGTCAGCTTCAAATGCCCAGGTGTCTGTCAACTCTTGTTTTCTTTCGTCTCATGCCACCTGTCTTGTTTTCAGAGAGGGAGATCTCCTGCACGCTTGCATGCGGCACATATCCTCTCTATATGTACGTTTGCTTGCTTCTTCCTTTCTTTTCTTTTCTTTTTTTTTTTTGTGGCTTGTGCGAGCATCTGAATTACGGTCACAAGCTGTGAACTGTAGGTAAATATGTGTTTGTGTTCCTCCTTTGCCGCCAAAGATTATGAGATGGAAATTATTTGGCAGGCACCCAGGAACCCATCTCCATTTAGAGAAAAAAAATAAAAAAGATATTTGGCACCGGTTCATCACTCGGGGGCAAACAGAGAGGACTGGAACATGTGCGTGTGTGTGTATGTGGATGGATGGGTGATCAGGTCTAAAGGGGTGGGGGGTTGAAAAAAATGTATGCGAAGAGGTAAAAGTGGGTAAAAAGATCCCAGAGTTCAGGAGTTTAAAGGGAGAATTTAGGATCCCCGATTCAAACAAAACGAGCGCACTCTCTTTGTCTAAYGTTCACAATGATCAGGGCATGGTGTTAGGAGGAAGTGGAGACGCAGCAGAGACGTGGCGGATCTCTCCCAGGCGTCAACACCTCTCCCTGGGCACCCGCTCCATTCAGACATCCCTCACAGCCTCTGGAGCTTCAGGTTTCCTCTGGGCTCTTAGATAAAAAAAAAGGTGGGGAGGGGACACATTTTCATACGGGTACATCAAGGGGTAGTGTTAAAAAAAACTGGAAGTTGTCCATGAGGGATTTATGTTAAGCTGAGGGATGGAGTCGGTGCCATAGGGGAGGAAGAGGAGAAGAATGGTTATTAATGACCGTGTCAGATGTGTGAAGAATGAGATTTACTCTCTTAACAGGACCCCGGGTTTGGCTTTATAGATTTTCTGTCTGTGGAGAATACACTGTTAAAAACTCACCTGAGTCCTGATTAGCTCTCTCTCTCACACACACACACACACAGACACACACGCAGACACAAGCTGGTGGATGTGGCCTTGGTTACACTCCACTCTCTTCAGAGCATGGCTGAGGCTCCCACGTGGTGAAACCATCTCGCTGTGACAACTCAGTGCAGCAAAGGCCCTCAGCGGAAACCCAGCATGCACTGTGAGATGAATCGCTTCCTGGCTGCACAAACACACACACCGATGCAGACCCACACCAACTTGTAGTGTACAGTGTTTGGTCACACCCACGCAGATCTCTTACGGTTAGGCWGCAGGTGTTTGGTCGAGGCCGTCTACAGAGACGCTGTTTCAAGTCATGAACGTGACTAAAGTTTGGATCGACCACCTTTGCGTGTCGTCGTGTGCCAGTTTCAGAAATGCACAACGCTTGTGTTGGTTTTGCCTCCCWCCTGTGTGTCCATCGTGATCCCTGATTGGCTTCTCCTCCGCTTTCCTTTCAGCAGAGGCCAATCATGACTCGGGGGCGAGGTCRCCGTCGCCGCAGCCGTCCAGCCCCAGCCTCCGCAGGCCGGGCCACGGCGAGCAGGACCTGCTGACCTGCGGCCAGTGCCAGACCAACTTCCCGCTCGGCGACATCCTGGTTTTCATTGAGCACAAGCGCCGTCTGTGCCGGGGCCCCGGCGGCAGACCCGGGTCCTTTACGAAACCCGGGGAGACCGGCGGGGTCATGGGCGTCCCCGTCTTGCCCAGGGCCAGGTCGCTGGAGCTGGGCAGAGGGTCCGTTCCCGTGGAGGTGGGCGTCCAGGTGACCCCGGGAGGAGAGGAGGACGAGCAGAGGAGGCTGACGCCGGCCAAGGGGATCTGCCCCAAACAGGAGAAAGGAGGTACGGGTCAAACACCATCTTCGCACACACACACATATACACACACAAACACACACACTGATGAAAGCCCTCACCTGTCCAGGCCAAAAAGCTGTTTGTTCTATTTGTTCGGTCTTCCACTGAGCTTAATGAAGCCCGAGATGATGTTTTTTTTTTAGCACAGTGTGTGTCAGTTATGCTGCATTTTAAAGAAAAACACCACACACACTTGAATCACATTCGACAATAACAGAAATACACACACACACACACACTTAAAGCTGAAGGACTTCTGCATCTGAAACAACAGTTAAACGTGAAGAAGGAGGTGACGGAAGGAGCCTTTGTGTTGTTTGTTTGTTTGTTTGATTGATTTTGGAGGGGGGGCTGTGCGGTGAGATGTAAGGTTGTGGGGGGGGGGGTCTGAGCACTTTTCAAAGAAATCCTGCGGCACGTGACCAGGTGAAGGAAGCTGATTAAAAATCATCTGTGTTCGCAGTAAGGAGAGGTGGATTAATAAAGCAGCAAGGCCGTTCATCTGGCTGTGTGTGTGTGTGTGTGTGTGTGTGTGTGTGTGTGTGTGTNGTGTGTGTGTGTGTGTGTGTGTGTGTGTGTGTGTGTGTGTGTGTGTGTGAACGATGCAGGGAAACCAAATTGGAGTCATCAGAGGAGGCGGTCACTATCACACCCAGGATCTAATAGGCTATCTGTTACTTTTCAAGTTAGCGTGTCGCTCTGCCCTCTCATGGTCAGGTCTGAGCAGCAGAAGATAATTCTTCGTTTATTTTCAACAACTCTGCCATCATTAGTTTGACAGAGTTGTATCAGATTGTATTCACACTTCTAATGAGTACATCTTTGAGATGATAGGCTTTTTTTTTGGTTTGCACATATGTGTAATTAGAACAGTCAGCCGCTTCTTGGGTTCACGTTGCACGCAATATATTTCTTTGGTTTAAAGTGGTTGAAATAACACATTCTGTTTACCGCAGTTGATTAAACTTTCACTTTGAAGTTTAACAACGAGATTGAGCTCCAGAATTTAAGGGCAAACTAGAGGTTTAAAATGTGAACACTTAGTGTATTTTAGACTTTTGTTTTTTGTTGTTGTTGTCGCGGCAGAAATGGGTGCATATGCACAGCGTTGTGTGTGTGTGTGTGTGTGTGGCCAGCAGCTGTGTGTGGCCATCATCTGTCAGTGTGGGACGGATGTGTAAAAGGAGATCAGAGACAAAATGTGACAGCAAAGGTTTGGATGCTGCTGTCGATTTGAGAGAACAAAAGGAGACGTTGAAAGTGTCCTTTTAAGATTTCTCACATCAGAAGTCTTATTGATAATAAAAATGTCTGACCAATCAATAGTAATGTGGCTTTTAGTCTTTTTTTTTCAGATTGGATGATTTAAAAAGCGTTGGCAACAACTTAGATGGAACTAGTGAGAGAAAAGAGCAAAATCACTGCTTGATGATRKGCAAATATGTAACCGTGATACTGGYTGTTTTCACCACATCCCTCAAAACTACACGCTTTAGCTTTTCAGCAATTATCGTCTCAACGGGCATGTATTTAAGATATTTAAGGTGGGAGCTGACATTGCTGTCACACAGTTTGTGTTTCCGATTTGTCGCCGAATTGACAGGGCGACAATAAAACGTCCATACATTGTGCAGCTTTCATTTCGCCAACTRAACGTGTCAGAGGAGATTCAGGCAGTTAAAAGAGTGACTCAGCCTTTTAGCGCGGCAGTCAGTTAGTCATTCAGGCAGACCGTCTTATCACTAAGAGAACAGGACATGAAAGCACTCGAAGCCCCGACTGAAAGAGAGGAGGACAGCTTTGTTCAACACATTAGATTGCCACTCAAGTCAGTCTCAAGTTTCAAGCAAATTAGATTACATTATTAGAGCTAATTAAGTCCAAAGTGTTGGAGGCACTCGCACTCAAAGGCATGCTCATCAGCACACACACACACACACACACACACACACACACACACACACACACACACACACA